TTTTACATATATATTCATTAAAGATATTGGTCTGAAGTTTTCTTTCTTTGATGTGTTTTTGCCTGGTTTTGGAATCAGAGTGATATTGTCCTCATAGAATGAGTTTGGAAGTGCTCCCTCTTTTTCTACTTCCTGAAATAAATTGAAGAGTATTGGTATTAGTTCTTCTTTGCAGGTCTTGTAGAATTCGGCTGTGGGCTTTTCTTGGTTGGTAGGCTTCTGATGGCATCTTTTATTTCATTGATTGATATTGGTCTGATTCAATTTGGGCAAATCATATGACTTAAGAAATTTGTGGATGCCTTTGATATTTTCTATTTTATTGGAGTACAAGTTTTCAAAATAATTTCTAGTTATCTTCTATATTTCTGTAGAGTCTGTTGTGATATTACCTTTTTAGTCACATATTAGTAATTTGAGTTTTCTGTCTCCTTTTCGTTAGCGTAGCTAATGATCTGTCATTTTTATTTATTTTTTCAAAGAACCAACTTTTTGTTTTATCAATTTTTCAATTGTTTCTTTTGTTGTGATTTCATTAATTTCAGCTCTAATTTTAATTATTTCCTGACTTCTACTGCTTTTGGTGTACATTTGTTCTTCTTTTTCTAGGGCTTTGAGATATAGTATTAAGCCATTTATTTGTTGACTTTTTCTTCTTTTTTTAAAAACTGTAATTATCCTGAACTTACAGATCCAAAATCTTTCTATATTTTCTTGGATTTTCAATGTAATTATATTATATATATATGAGAAGAAATTTTCTTTTATTAAACTTCCATTTTCTCTTAAAAATACTCTTGCCAGGCACAGTGACACACACCTGTAATCCTAACAGTTTGGAAGGCTGAGACAGGAGGACTGCAAGTTCAAAGCCAGCCTAAGCAAATTGGCAAGGCCCTGATTAATTTAGTGAGACCTTGTCTTAAAATAAAACATAAAAAAGAGCTAAGTCGCCCTGGGTTAAATCTCTGGCACCAAAATAAACAAACAAATAAATAAAAATAAACATAAAAGTACTCTTATTGCACTGGCTAGTTTATTTTTGCACAGCTGCAGTGATAAAGGGCATTTAATCTTTTCTTCCTGATTTTAATGGAAATGTTTTAAATTTTCACCGTTAAATCACAGTAAGAATGATCTCTTCTATTACTGGTTTTCCAAGAGCTTTTAACATCATTTTATGTTGAAACCGATCAAATGCCTTTTCTATATCTATTAATAGAACCAAAAAACCTTATCTAAGTTTCCATGGTAAATATAAAGATGCTCCACCCAAATCTTCCTTCAAAGAACTTGGTGACTCAGCTTCTGACAGTTTCCAGTTGTTAGCACCTCCACAATTTCCTCAGTTCCCCTTAGAGCATGCTCCTTCCATACCCGTGACTGACCAAGGCAGGTGTGTGAAGGGCCTGGTCATTGTGACTCACACTGGGGCAACCTGATGAGTAAAATATGCTTCAAAGCTCTCCTGGGCTTGGTGAGACTTTGTGGACTGGCACCACAGTTCTCATTTGCCTTCTGTCCACTCCTGCTTGATGGTTTCCTTCCATATATGTTAGCAAGTAATAAGCATCCTGCACACTGAACTCCATCTCAGCATCTGCTTTCAGAGGATTCAAATTTGTGGCAATTTGTTTAGATATTTTTAAGTGTTAAAAATAAAATCTTGGCTTTCCCAAGGAAACTTCTACTTAGTCTTATATATGCCTGGATTCAGTTTCATATAACTTTGGCATTTATTAATTCATTTGCCTCTGTATCTGCCCTTATTGTGTATACCCTACACAAATCAGCTGCCTGGGGTGCTATCAGGTGCCAAACACGGTTGTAGGACTTTTCTTTCTGAAGAAGTATATACTATGTTTTATAACCAGTACTCTAAAATGTTTTTATTCTTTAGTTTAGCTTGAATTTCAAAGCATCCCCAATCCTTCCAGGCACTTTCACCTTGCTCTAAGGAGCAGTTGTCCAGTGGAGCTTGTGTTTAAGAGATTTTCTACTTTGGGACTGAGCCACTGATAGTTTTGACAGTGCCATCCATTTGGGAATCACCTCACTCAAACCTACTCCAATCTGTGGGCCAAGAGAGCTTCTCAGATCTAAGATGGAAGAAAGAACAACGCTTTTGCTATGCACTTACATGATTAAAAAATTAAGGATGCAGCTATATATCTTTACTGTTAATTTTGCTCAGAGGAGCTTTCTCTTCTTACCAGAAAATGATAGAAAGGGTACAGTTAGTTTAATGGCCTCCTACCCCCCATTTTTAGAAAAAATAAAACAAAACTTCTTTTTTAAAAGAGCAAGATAAATAACCTTTACAATTCAGAACTTTTAAACTTTAGTAATACACTGATTTTCAGGTTCTACTATTTAGTAGATTATTAGAAATATCCTTGAGAGTTACTAGAAATAATCATTGTTGATCTCTGTACCACATGGATTGAATAAAATATATTTGGCGATAATAAAGGATTATGAATTTGTCTAGAAGGTATGAATATGTGGTATGGAAGCTACAAAATGAGCTCATTATAATTAATAAAAATATGGTAAAAGCAAGTGAAAAGTAAAAACTCTTTATACATCACTGATTTATAGAAATTTATTTGAAATATAAAAATGTAATTTGCAAGTCAGTATTTGATTTTGTAAATTATGTTATAATGTACTCATATGTAAAAAAGAAGGACTAGATGATAACCAGAGTCTCTTCTAATCCTATATAGTATATTTCCTGTTTTACAGATGAGGGCAAAAAAGATATGTGACTCACCTACATTATATGCTAGCTAGTGACAAAACTGTCTGTAAAACCCAAATACCCTGACCCTACATTAACTTCACTGTCTTTAAAAAGATGACTCTCCATAAAAAGCTAACTTGGCCATGGCTTCTGCCCATACAAAAAGACTAAGTTCATTATAGGTTTGTTTAAAATGGCATATAACTCAAAATAACTGTAGTTCCTTCAGAGACAGGTTTATTTGGAAAAGAAAAGAACCCCTGATGAGGTTCTGGGGTCTAAATTCCTAGGAGATGGCTGCCAGATCAAGAAGACCAAATGGGACAATCCCTAGGAAGAGCAGAATAATGGGGTAGAAAGCAGGGAGATGGGTGCTCCCAACACTGAACTTTATGAAGGAAGAGGCAAGTTGTGCTATCTATCCACAGCACAACAGCACAGGGCAGGAGGGGCAGCTGCAGTGGGAAGAGGTCAGAGACAACCCTCCTTCAGACAGGGCCTGGATAAGAGAATAAACCTGACACAAGTTTAATGGTCTTTGCTGGGAGGTTAACAAAAAAACACTTTGCCCTGAATGCAGTCCCTGGCTTAGGATAGCAAATACTCCAACCCTTTAAATGGCTCATCTCCCTTGAAAGCCTGATTTTAAACGATTGGGGAAGTGAAAAATTTAGAAGTAATGCTATAAGTTGAGGTTTCACTTAATAGAAGTCAGATCTATTTTTCAGAGTCCTCTGCAGGTGGAGGGCTATAGAAACTTTAGACATTTGTGGCTTGGCATCTGCAAAGCTCTGTTCTGCTTTTCTCCTTGCTGTGGCCAGAGAATGCCGGCCATTCTGTAATGGTAGGTCTATTTTGCCAGAAAACTCACATATTTGTGGGTGGAGTCAGTTGGGAGACTGGAGAGATTTTTCAAAAGACTGCATTGGCCAAACACTGCAGGGACTTCCAGAGGGTGAAAAATAATACCTTGGGGGTTAGCAAATTTCCACTGTTTGTGGAGCCAAAGTTGCAGCTCTGGAAACATGGCAAGTAACTGATCACTCCAGGGGAGGAGAGCTGAAAGCTGGATAAGTGACATGTGCTTTCACTGTGTCACTGAGAACAGTGGTAAAGGCTCCTACAGCCACCCTGGACTATCTGGGTTATGGCCCAGGCAAAATTCATCTTCAGTGGCTGCAACTACAGGTTTCTCCTTAAAGCTTGGATATTAGGGAACCACAGCTGTCCACAGAGTTAAGTCAAAATGCAGTAAATTAAGGACATATACAAAGTTACCTTAAAAGAGCAGATCTGGCTGGGCATTGTGGCGCACGTTTGTAATCCCATAATCCTGCTGAAGCAGGAGGACTGCAAGTTTAAAGCCAGCTACAGAAATTTAGTGAGGCCTTAAGCAATTTGGCAAGACCTTGCCTCAACATAAAAAATAAAAGTGGCTGGGGATGTGGTTCAGTAGTTAAGTACCCCTGGGTTCAATCCCTAGTACAAAAAAGAAAAAAATTAAATGAAAGAAAAAGATCTCAAATTTGAGTTCATAATTCTCTGTAAGGAACTGATTAAAAAGTTGTTCATGCAACCTCCTCACTCATGCAGATGTAATGTTCATCTACAGCTTGGGGATGGATGGGCTCAGGTTAACACTTAAGAGAGTGGCTTAAAGAGACAGCACAGCCCTAGGTTAAGGTAGATAGTGTTATTTCTACTGAAGAGTGTGTCTGTTAGAAAGGAGGGTTATCCACAGTTATAAACAAAGCACAAAGAGCCATTAAGATACAGGCTGATGGTGCCCATCCAAGGACAGTCCAGGACAGAGCCTAAGCAGAGGACATTGATATTCCTGTTCCCAAACCTGATTTTGCTGAGTCTAGACTTTGTCTAGTTAGAATACACATCTAACAATTTTCAAAAAATCCCCTTTCAATCTTCATTTTTATTAAGCAACCATATGACTAAACACCACCCTTTCCTATAGATCTGCCCACAGGGACAGAATGTTCTGGTCTTGCCAATATGAACATTCTGGTATGCATGGCAGTAACAGTTCATGCTAGAGACAAGTAAAGCGGCATTCTGTTTTATACATTTGTCTTCTAAGCTTGGATAAGCTCTCTCTTCAGAGTCAGATCAACTGTCAGTGTGCTGAAAATCAGATTTTTAAGCCTATCAGATTGAAGTCTAGAATATTAAAATACCAGCTGCTGTCCCTGGCAATTGGCTAGTCATGCACCCTCCCACTGAAAACAACCATGCTTACCTTTTACAGGACATCGGATTGTCACATTTGCTTGAAGGGCTGCCTCCACGATGCCTCCCACCACAATGGACAGATGGTTGTGCTCTGGTTTGGTGATATTTCTTTCAACAGACAAGATGACAGGTGCCTCTTAATTCAAAGGGAGCAGGAAACTATGTCAGGTTCAGGCTTTAGCTGTTGATAAACCATTCTGCCTTTTGTAAACTTTGTTGAGCTCTTTGAGAGCAGGGTAGAATGCTGGTCCTCTCTATCCCCCATGGTACACCATGGGGACTGGCACATACATAGCTAGAGATGCTCAGTGGACAGATGAACAGATGGGTATATAGATGGATGGATGGACAGTTGGCTGAATGCTTTCAAAGGTGCACTGCAACAATTATATGTAGACTATAATGTTATTTTGCTTTTATAATCAGAATGAAGAATAATTCCTCTTTGATAATTTGAAGGAATTCAGAAGTTCAGAAGAAGCAAGGAAGACATGAAAGGGCAGGAATAATGTCTCTGCCATGTGGCCTGGGATGAGTTGAAGCAGGGACAAAACACGCCAGGGCTTGTGACCACCTGACATTTTCTGGAAGGGGGAAGGCATGGGCTGAAGGAGCAGGACCAAATATCCTGATCCATTCTTCTGCCCCTTGGTAGGAGTTATCCTGGATGGAGAAACCTCTAGGAGCCCTCTCATCTTGAGTTAAGAATAAGACAAGGTTCTATTCAGTTAAAATATTTTCCAAATGCCCATTCTGTGGTCCATTCTGGGGTAACAAGATCAGAGGTACTTCTCCTCTCTTGATAATCACAAAAACTACCTACCAGTGCAGGGGGTGCAAGCAGGTATTTTCAATATTAACATGGTATCTACAATATCTCTTACAAAGTTTTTCTGTATATGGTGCCAGAATCAGGCTGATGTGTTCTCTCCAGAATAAAACTAGGGTTCTAGATATCATTCAAAGACGAATCAGAGAAAATCATGTAGGAAGACCACAATTCTCGTTGAGCCTCTTATAATAATATGTTCATGTGCTCATGCAAAATTTTTCCTCTCTGGACTTTAGTTTGAATCCCAGTGAAAGGACTTCAGTTAGAGATTTCTTAGGTGTCTTCCAGCTACACTTCTCTCACTCAAATTATGGTTCATAGAGGCCCCTTCTTACCTGACTTAAATAAACTCATCTCAATTTAAAATAAAATGCTATTATTATTTAAAGACTATTAACTGCAAAGAGGCGCACTTAAAATATTATTCACATGTCTATATGCAGAAAATCTCAAGGGAGAAGACATCAGATGTACCCAGTTTATGAAACTCTCTGAGGTTATTACAAGTGGATTAGAATAGTCTGCAAGGAAAGTTCAAATTTAGCATTTTGGTTAATGTGAAACAAATACCTACATAAAACTTACAGGAAAAAAAATAAAAACAAACCCCCAAAGAGTAAAGAATCCAAAGACTTTCACTTCTTTGAATTTTGATACTTAGCTAACAGATTAATTCATTAACTCATTCAGGAAACATACTTTCTGTCTGACATGAACAACAGGAATACAGAGTTGGAAAACACACATTCTTGCCCATGAGGAGCTCAAGGACTGGTGACACCATTACTGCTCAGGGTTATGGATGTTGATATAGAGAAAGAGGATGTTTGCCCAGGGGTTACACAGCAGTATGTAGGTGTCAGGGAAGGCAACATCCCAGGAAGGACACTGACAACATTCCTCTACCACAGCACTATTGCAGTGATTGGTTTCCCTAATCTGACATTAATATATAAGCTCCTGGGCAGTGGGGAGACTATACTTCTTTAACCTTTTTTATGGTCTATGCATAGTTAATTCATGAGAGAATAATGACACTTCAGCAAGCTATCTTGGTAACCATGGTATTCTGGAGAAGAGAATCAAGGAAAGGTCACGTTTGGGGGACCGAGCATTGTACTCTCCTAGAGAGTGTGGCCCAGTGGAAAGCTACCTTAAGAAGTGTAAAGACAGAAAACTTTTGGCTGACAGAGGGCTTTGGTTGTCACAGCTCATCCTCTGGCTCCTGAGGACTACTAGAAATTTAGATTATTCTGGGATAGGCTTAAGGGGAAACTGAAGTGTACATGTGCATATGTGTGTGTAGGGTAAGTTCTATTCCCCAGGAATTCCAAAAACTTGGAACTGACTCTTCCTGGAAAGGAGCTAATGTTCACAGGGCAGAATAATCCAGGAGAAAACAAAAGGCTAAAGTTCTACCTTTGAGAAGACAGCCAGAGAAGGGGCTCAGAATCTTTAAGCCATGCAGATTCAAGGGCCTTTTAAAATCAACTGGCCCAGTCTCCTCAATTAAAAAATGTGAAGCACCTACCACACAGCTCAACTCTTAGTTGACCAAATGCCAGACTCTAAACCCTGATATTGTTCCTCTTTTCATCTAAGTCTATCTGAGCCATAGACATCAGAAACTCCAGAGTTGGGAGGTCGGGAATAGCTCTTGTTTTATTTTTACAAAACATAAGCCTCCCACAAGAATCACTGCCACCTAAAATGTTCCTTTATAATAAAAGCACATTTTAATATCAAAATGACATTGTCCAGCTCCTGTGAAGACACACATTAATGTAAAGTTGCAACCTCCAGGAGATATTTCTAAGGATTGGCAGGCATGCTATCAGGAGGGATATGCAAAAGAATAATTATTCTCTTTCCTTTAAAGGAAAAGGAAAAAACCTCTAAACTTTAAAGAACTTTTTTAAAACCTTAAAAACTTTTTTAAAAAATATTTTGGGACTTTAAAGGAAAGAAAAGTCCATAATATCAATACCTCCTACTAAATCTGCCTCACTAATCTCCTTTTCTTCAAGAGTGAGCTCTAGAATAGCCACTTCCAGAGAATGGGCCTTTATCCATCAACAGCCACATAACCTAGGAACATACTAAAACACCAATTCTCAGACTCATCCACATTCTACCAAGGCAGAATCGCAAGGGTAGGGGCCAGCAATCTGTTTTAACAAGCCTTTAGGTAACTGATGGAGTTCAAGGTTGAGAACTGACGCTGTGGAGATTAATGTTAAAAACAAAACAGAAACATTCTAGGTTTCAACCAAGGGGATTACCTGCATACAGCACAGAAGAACTTTCCACATCAGAACCAAGATGATTAGCTACAGAACATTCATAAATTCCTTGTTCTTTCCTTGTAGGATTCTTTATCTGTATTCTCCCAGTTCCATCCAAAATTATCCTGTAGAAGAGTAATAAAGGGGGTGCATTCAAGTAACACATTTAACTACCCTGGGGCCATCGAAAGTTGCCGAGAAAGAAGAAAAACAAATTTATAGGCCTTGGCCTAACAGGGATCCCCAAAGATGATCTTGTCAAGCATCCTACCTATAGGCATGCAGATCAGCAGGGCAGGAGAGTCTCTTCTCTTGCCTTAGGTTCACTACACCCTTAGAACTGGACATTGCTTGGATAGCCAGCATCCCATCTTCCTTTACATGAGAACAGACTCTTCTGGATGGAATTTTGTCTTAATCTACCCCATTTAAAAACAAACCTATTAGTTTTCTGGGTATTAAACCTTCATTTCCAGCCCAAATCCTTCCTAAGAAGCTTCAGGTATGAGTTTTCACAGTGAGATCCAGCGGGCTTTGGTATAAGCTACTCTGTGATAGATCACTGTCTCACCATCACTATGTGAAAAGGTCAGTTGAGGTAACAAGCTAAGGCTGCAGTTTGTATGGAATTTTGACTGTGCCATTAAGAATTAGGGATAGTGGGGCATAGTGGTGTATGCCGGTAATCTCAGTGGCTTGGGAAGCTGAGGGAAGAGGATTACAAGTTCAAACTCAGTCTCAGTAATTTAGTGAGGTCCTGAGGAACTTAGTGAGATCCTGTCTCAAAAGAAAAATTAAAAAGGTCTGGGGATGTGGCTCAGTGGTTGAGAGCCCCTAGGGTCAATCCCTGTACCCCCCCGCCCCCCCCCCCACACACACACATACAAAAAGAATCAGGAATAAGCTGAGTCCCTTATAGTTTTCCAATTATTGATATTCCTAAAAGCCTACATGAAAATACCACTTTGACAATCAGGTGTTTACTAATTAGGTTATTATTCAGAGAAGTGAGAGAAACTTTAAATTTTATTATTCCTAATGATATGAATCTACTTCTAACCTGGACCATTGGCCCTTGTATTATTTATTTTCCCATCCCACTTTATAGATCTTAGCAACAGGGACCAGTCTGACTTCTAAACATAGCATTTCTTCATTAATTGAGCTGAGCCACTTCTTTACTTCCTGTCACTTCCTGTCACTCATCCTATGCTCCAGCCATAACAAACTTGTTTCCAGAACATTCCATGATCTTACATCTCCCTGAGCTTATGCATATGTTGTTCTCTTTATCTGAAATGGCGTTTTTTTTTTCCTGCAAAACTTTGTCCTACCATTGGGTACTGGATCACATGTAATTTCCCCTGTAAAGTTTTCCCCAATACTCTTCCATTTATCTTCTATCCCCTCTGGGCTCCTTATTCTCTGGTTCAAGTATTTATTTGTTGAAATATCTATTTCTTTCCACTAGAGTGTGATCTTTTCAAGGGCAGGGGCCAAATCTTATTCACAGCTGTGAATTCCCACTGCTTAGCACAGTGAGTTTTATATACCAGTTCTCAAAAAAACCTTTGATGAATAAATACATGAATGACCAGAACAGAACACGGTAATGGCACAGAGGAAAGGTACAAGGAGGATATGAGGCTCCCCTGCAGCACACGTGTGAAATACACAAAAGGGACAGAAGTCAAGACAGATGAAATGGTCCACAGCAATGGCACTGTGGCAGACCTATCTGTCTGCAGGGCTAGATATTCACTATTAAATTGCCACTGAGGAGGAGCAGTTGAAAACAAAAGTATGACTCCTAACTATACAGACATGAAAAATATACTAATTTATTTTCTTAATTTTTTCAAACATGTTTGTATGATTTATCAATTCTCAATTTGTTTGGTAGGCCTCAAGAAGTCAACGAGATTGAGATTGCTGAGCACTTGTGAGCCTTACTTTCCAAGGGATGCCACCCAGGTACCTAAGCCAGAGCAGTCCTTGAGCTGGAGAACCAGAAGGCAGAGCTCCTAACAGATCTGACCATGGCCTCTGCTGCACAGTCTTACTGTCAACTTGAGGTAATGACAAGGCTGAACTTTCTATAGACACCATCTCTAGTTGACTCACCCATAGCCTTCCCTTCCTCGCTGAGATTTTTTACTCAATATTGTCCAAACAATATTCCACACCTATATGGTTTCTTTTGACAGGACAGAGGTTCTTAGAAACATAATTCTATTTCTGAATTACTTCTGTTGAAAAGATTTGTGAGGCTCAGAAAAATATACTTGAGCACCTTTGTTATGTACAGGAAATTAAAAGTAAAATGAGCAAATAAATTGCATAGGTTTCAGAGAAAAAACTAAAAAGAAAAATGGATCTTACTGTCTTAAAAAAAACAAAAATCGAAAATTTTTATTAGACATATGGAGTTGCTTCAGTTTTGAATGGTTGATCTTTAAGCATGCAGAAACACATCTGAGTGGGATGTACCATGTCAAAACCTTTTATTTACATGAGTTCTACAAATCTCAGCCTCAGAAAACTTAATTCCATTTCATCAACTTTTTTTTTTTTTTTTTTTTTGGTACCAGTGATTGAACCCAGGGGCACATAACCACTGAGCAATATCCCCGGCCCTTTTTAAAAATTTGATTTAGAGACAGGGTCTCACTAAGTTGCTTAGGGCCTCACTATGTTACCGAGACTGGCTTTGAACTTGTGATTCCCTTTCTTCAGCCTCCTCCTCCCTGTGATTACAGGCGTGTGCCACCATGCCTGGCTTCATCAAGTCAACTATTAGCAATAAACTCAATTTGACAAATATTTATTCTAAATGCCCATGTTCCTCTATATCACTGTAGTACTTGTGTGGCCATAGGTCAACTCATCAGCTTTCTCAGGCTATTTTCTTACAATGCACACAATTGAACTGTGAGCCATATAGTAGTCTACAGAGGGTGGTCCATAAGTCTATGGGTCAGTGAGAGGAAAGGATGTTCCCCATAATACTGAAACATTATTTGCCTTTTCCATTGTTGTATTGACCTTTGCACTGATTATTCAAAGACAGTGATGTTCAGACTCCTGGCATGAAGCAGGCAGTGTCATCCACGTAGTCACTGTGGTCTGGACTGCCACACAATGCAATACAAACAAAACTGCCAGTATCACTTCAAGATGTTCCAAATGAAGTACTAAAACTTGTTAATTTAACTAAACTTCAACCCAGCACAACGGTTTGTAATGTTCTGTATAACAAAATAGGAAGCATATACAAAACACTTCCACTGTGTGCTAAAACATGCTGGTGTGATTGAACTGTTAGCTGTTGTTTTCATGGACTATGATGTTTGTTTGAAAGAATACCTGGCAGACAAGCTATGACAAAAAAAGTCCACACTGTGTTTTGAACTTGGGTATTTGGCAGATATATATATATATATATATATATATATATATTTTTTTTTTTTTTTTAAATTTTTTATTGTGGGTTGTTCAAAACATTACAAATTTCTTGACATATCATATTCCACACTTTGATTCAAGTGGGTTATGAACTCCCACCTTCACCCCATACACAGATTGCAGAATCACATCAGTTACACATCCATTGATTTACATATTGCCATACTAGTGTCTGTTGTGCTCCGCTGCCCTTCCCATCCTCCACCCTCCCCCCTCCCCACCTCTCCCCTCCCCTCCCCTCCTCTCTCTCTACCCCCTCCACTGTATAACCCTGAGGGTCTCCTTCCATTACCATGCAATTTCCCTTCTCTCTCCCTTTCCCTCCCACCTCTCATCCCTGTTAAATGTTAATCTTCTTCTCCTGCTCTTCGTCCCTACTCTGATCTTAGTTACTCTCCTTATATCAAAGAAGACATTTGGCATTTGTTTATTAGGGATTGGCTAGCTTCACTTAGCATAATCTGCTCTAATGCCATCCATTTCCCTGTAAATTCTATGATTTTGTCATTTTTTAATGCAGAGTAATACTCCATTGTGTATAAATGCCACATTTTTTTTATCCATTCGTCTATTGAAGGGCATCTAGGTTGGTTCCACAGTCTTGCTATTGTGAACTGTGCTGCTATGAACATCGATGTAGCAGTGTCCCTGTAGCATGCTCTTTTTAGGTCTTTAGGGAATAGACCAAGAAGGGGAATAGCTGGGTCAAATGGTGGCTCCATTCCCAGCTTTCCAAGAAATCTCCATACTGCTTTCCAAATTGGCTGCACCAATCTGCAGTCCCACCAGCAATGTACAAGTGTACCCTTTTCCCCACATCCTCGCCAGCACTTGTTGTTGTTTGACTTCATAATGGCTGCCAATCTTACTGGAGTGAGATGGTATCTTAGGGTGGTTTTGATTTGCATTTCTCTGACAGCTAGAGATGTTGAGCATTTTTTCATGTACTTGTTGATTGACTGTATGTCCTCCTCTGAGAAGTGTCTGTTCAGGTCCTTGGCCCATTTGTTGATTGGGTTGTTTGTTCTCTTATTGTCTAATTTTTTGAGTTCTTTGTATACTCTGGATATTAGGGCTCTATCTGAAGTGTGAGGAGTAAAGATTTGTTCCCAGGGTGTAGGCTCCCTATTTACCTCTCTTATTGTTTCTTTTGCTGAGAAAAAACTTTTTAGTTTGAGTAAGTCCCATTTGTTGATTCTAGTTATTAACTTTTGTGCTATGGGTGTCCTATTGAGGAATTTGGAGCCTGACCCCACCGACTGTAGATCGTAGCCAACTTTTTCTTCTATCAGACGGCGTGTCTCTGATTTGATATCAAGCTCCTTGATCCATTTTGAATTCACTTTTGTGCATGGCGAGAGAAAGGGATTCAGTTTCATTTTGTTGCATATGGATTTCCAGTTTTCCCAGCACCATTTGTTGAAGATGCTATCCTTCCTCCATTGCATGCTTTTAGCCCCTTTATCAAATATAAGATAGTTGTAGTTTTGTGGATTGGTTTCTGTGTCCTCTATTCTGTACCATTGGTCCACCCGCCTGTTTTGGTACCAGTACCATGCTGTTTTTGTTACTATTGCTCTGTAGTATAGTTTGAAGTCTGGTATCGCTATACCGCCTGATTCACACTTCCTGCTTAGCATTGTTTTTGCTATTCTGGGTC